ACATTTAAATGCCTAATGTAGTACCAATGTATAGTTTGGCGTCTTTCTTTTAATATTTACTCGCAACACCTTTTAACATTTAATTGGAAAAAAGTGATCACCCAAAAACATCGGAGAAGTAAGATTACATTCATCATTGGAGAGCAAATCCGTGATACCACGATTTGAAAAGTTACAAGAGACAATACAAATCGACGGTGTAAGTCAGCGATCACATAACTCGGTTTGCGACGTCGCAGACTTCCTGTCATACTTCATCTTTTCAACGGAAAACTACTCAACGGCAATTCTTTAAAACTGCCGTGATTTTTCTTCTCTGTGCGAAGAAAATTCTGCACAAACTTCAAGGATGATGTCAATTTGTTCTCTTTTAAAAAAATAACATAGAGGCGGAGATTTTCAGACACCGCAAACGAGATATGTTATTGCGGATTTAAGCCGTCGAAATGTATAATTGATTAACTTTTCCTGCATAACTCATATCGGTTTCATTTATTGGAGTCCTCGCCAAATAAGTTTACACACCTACACACTGCGACAAAGGATGGTCTAACGTCACTTATACATCCAAATAAAATGCAGGAATCAAAATGACGGATCATCTGTCGCAATCTAAAAGTGCGTAAACTTATTTTGCGTGGACTTCAGGAAAAGTTGGTAATCATTCGATGTTCGTCTTTTTCTAAACGTAAAATTTGTTTCGTGACAGGGACTTTACAGATTATGAACTTTGATGCACGGAGCATCTGAACACTTTAGGTCTAGCTGTCGAGATTCGAACCAAACATCTGAAACTTTAGTATCCTCACATCCGAAAAACTTTAGTATCCTCACATCCGAAAAACTTCGGTTCTCACATCTGAAGTACTTCAGATGTAAGAACTGAAGTTTCAGATGTGTGATCCAAACCTCGATAGCTAGACCTAAAGTGTTCAGATGCTCAATCCGAAAACTTCAGAGATCCATATGATCTAAACTTCGGGTCCCACGAACGAAGTTTTTTCTCCGTGTGCTCTATACGTTGACCCCTAAAAATTCTGGTTGAATACTTTGAATCCAACTTTAAGCTCTTGATTCTGATCTAAACACTGCTGGTGTCGGTAAGGACATTTGATTTCTGTAAGCAAACTTAACAAACACTACCAGAAAGAAGTATACTATCTGTCAACGAAACATCCGTGTTTTGCTCAAAAGAATAAGTCCTGCGTAAACATACAAGTGGACGCAAAATTTTGAAGTTTCGGTAATAAATGGCAACGCACGAGGACATATCGATCGGGTTCGATTGAAACGATGTCTCGGGTCATTACGCTCACGGAGCCATTTCTACGCCCCTCTTCCCCTCCCGGCCCATTTGCTGAGAATGGTTGAGTCATTCCCTTAAACGTCTAGATTACATAGCTATGCAAAAATCCTCCGAAACAGCCTTTCCTCTCTGCGATCGCTTGTAGTTTGCATTGCGGCCGGTTTATTGAACCCCGGAGAGAAGAACTCACCTGCGCTCTTGTTTTCCTAGGAAAAAATTCAAATTCTGAGAAGGATATTGTCATAGCTGCTCATTTGCTCGATGCGGACAAATAAAGAAGAGAGATAATGGGGGAGCTGTGCAAAGTGAAATACTGAAATACTTATGATCTGTTGAGGAAAACCAGTTCTTGAAGACACAATTGCAACGATTATTCTTATTTCCTATCCTTATATCTTTTGACATGCAATAACTCTCGAAAGTTATTGAGATCTTGAAGTTACCTGTGGGTGATGGATCACTAGACATGGTACAAAATTCATCACCACCATGTCTGATTCCTCATCGTTTTACATAGAATACAAGGATATACTGAAACTTTCCAAGATGAACAACGATCTATACACACTAAGGGGAAAGGGCTCTATGTCTTCAGCCCCTCCACCCCCCTTCCCCCAACACTCACCTTTTCAAAAATCACAATTTTCTAAAAAAAAATTCTGTTTTATGAACCAAAGGCCGGTGCTCTCTATCGGCCGCAGTATTCGAGTCTTATTACGGTGCTTCTCGGTCCATCTAACTTTATTTTAGTTCACAAATTGTCATCTCCCGCACGAAAGAACGTAACTCCATTCCACGGTTGCAAGATTGACTCAAACACTACAATGTTTTACGATAATAAACCTGCAAACCTGGAAGAAGTGTCTCCTTTTTGCATGTGATCAAAAGAATTACATTTTTAGTCAGAAACTCCAAGGTAACTATAATTTTCCGGGTAAAACTGCAATTTGTGAGGAAAAATCAACCAAAAATGAAAAGAAGTTACATTCTTTCGAGAAAGAAACGACGATATATTTGATGTTTCAAACCAAAATTAACGGTAAAAATAATTAAGTGGCTTGAATCGAGCTTTCGGAAAAGCTCGGTTGCAGAACCTAACTTTAAAATTACCATCATACCCATACTCTCCGTGGCTTGAATCGAGCTTTTGGAAAAGCTCGGTTGGAAAACCTAACCTCCAAAATGACCATCATGTCAATACTCTCCCTACACAAGAACTGTACTTCACCAATTAAGCCCACAGAAATTCCAGGATGACGGGGCGACTTGCAGTGAAAATCGCAAGGGTCGATGCATCCGAGTACCTTGCACCGGGCTGCAATAGTGCAACAGACTAGAAAGGGGGAGGGGAGTGGGTCAGGGGTGCGGGGCGTGACGTGTTGCACTTGGCAGTCGGGTCTGACAAAAGTTGTGCCGACGAATCCGCATCTGAATCAGACGGTTTCGACCCTTCGCCTCCCCCCCCCCTCCCCCGGTCGTGACCGCGGCCAAACTGGCAAAAAACCGCTGGCGGCCAACTTGAACTTGGATATAGTTTTTTTGGCGTGGCCCCATAAGGATCCGCGCTGCTCCACTCGTTTCATCGTCACCTCTCGCCATCGATTCTCCCTCACTTCCCTTTCATCGCTTCCACGCCATCACAGTTAATTTTTTACTTTTCCTTTCACCCAAACTGCAATGGAGATGTTGCATGTGTGAGGAATTTGCGATTTGACCATTGACTCTTGTGTAAAAGTTTGCGAGAAACACGATAGTGCCACTAGTTTTCCCTGAAATCAACTCCCAAGCTCGAAAAAAGCTCTCAAAGTTGGGGGCGGAATGGAGGAGATATTCCACGAAACTGCAAGATAGATGTTGCATGTGAGAGGAATTTTTGATTTGACTATTGATTCTTATGTAAAAGTTCGTGGGAAACACGATGGTGCCGCTGGTTTTCCCTGAAATCAACTCCCAAGCTCGAAAAAAGCTCTCAAAGTTGGGGGCGTAATGGAGGGGATATTCAACGAAACTGCAATGGAGATGTTGCATGTGTGAGGAATTTGCGATTTGACTATGGATTCTTACATAAAAGTTCGCGAGAAACACGATGGTGCCACTGGTTTTCCCTGAAATTAACTCCCAAGCTCGAAAAAAGCTCTCAAAGTTGGGGGCGTAATGGAGGGGATACCCCACGAAACTGCAATGGAGATGTTGCATGTGTGAGGAATTTGCGATTTGACTACTGATTCTTATTTGAAAGTTCGTGAGAAACACGATGGTGCCACTGGTTTTCCCTGGAATCAACTCCCAAGCTCGAAAAAAGCTCTCAAAGTTGAGGGCGTGATGGAGGGGATATCCCACGCTATCCTGAGAGTCCACCTCTACATCAAGACAAACTCCCCATGCAAAGATAGGGAGCAAATACATTGACAGGGCTGCCACTTTATTTGGGGACTCTAAAACTGAAAACACGGCAACCCTGCTAATGTATATGCTCCTTATCTTTGCATGGAGAGTTCGTCTTGAAGTGGAGGGGGATATCCCCTCCATTTTGGCCTCATTTTGAGAGCTTTTTTCGAGCTTGGGAGTTGGTTTCAGGGAAAACCAGTGGCACTTTCGCGTTTCTCGCGAACTTTTACATAAGAATCAATTGTCAAATCGCAAATTCCTCACACTTGCAAAATCTCCATTTGGGCCGTATTTTGTAACCCGGCTGACATAAAGCGTACCTACGAATTGAAATGAGCCGGGAAAGGCATTCAATCGTATGGACAAAATGGTTCATTGCAGAGTGTAGAAACACCCTTTCGCAGGAAAGCGACGATTCAAAGTCGTTCCTCAAACAGCTCCTTTTCTCGAAAGGCCACGAACAGAGTGATCTACGGTAGTGGGAATCTTGAAAGTTGGTAATGATTTCCTCCATTTAAATCCATTAAAAATATCGATTTTAGGTGAAGCAATCCGCCTCACCACAATAATGTATGGCTTTAAAGAGGGGGAGGGGATATTTGCCAAAAATCGCCCCCAATCCCAAAAGTTCAACCACCAAACCGCAGGAGCCGTGTTCTAATAGTAAAAATAAGACTTTTTTTCATCTATACAATTGTTTCCAAAAGTGATTTTAAGAGGGTTACAATCCTACCAAAAGTTCTGGGAAATAAATCGTTTTTCCTGTATTATGGCAATAGAAATCCGCCAGATCTCACAAAAATTGGTATGCACCTATGATTTGAAACACCGAATTTATCAAAGATGTTTGAAAAATCAAAATTTTAGTTAAAATTGGGATTTTGAGGGGTCCGCAAAATACTACCTTTTTATTCAGAAAACGAAGTTATTGGCCTTGCCAAAAACTGGGAGCGAAACTAATACCAAATACCTGAAACCATTACAAAACTATCAGCAAAGTCTCATCACATTTTTCTTAGTAATTAAACCCATATTTTTCTACGTATAAAAATTTAATTTTGTCAAACGCTCTTCATTTGAACGAATATTAGTTTCACGAAAATTCGGTCCAGCAGAAATCTTTCATCAAATTAATAATATTCCTCCTCTTTCACCAAAGAAAAATTGCGGGAAAACAGTTCAACTGCTGGCTTTCATATTTGTCATTCTGAAAAGTTGTCGAGACATTGATGATTCAGCTTAAAATTGCTGCAAATGAGGTAAGATAAAAGTAAGTCGAAAATTAAAAAAAGGTGAGCATTCTTACCTTGTCGGCTTGTCTAAGGCAATCTATTCTTCGCATTTTGCCTTTTTGGTCTGGATTGGAAAGAACACACATCGGCTGTTTCTTGCCGGTGATACAGAGAACAAAATCCTCCCTGCACTCTTGCGTGATATCTTTCCGTAGTTTGCCTAAAAGTCGGGACGCCCACTTTTGCTTAACCTCTACTTTTTCATTCTGGAAAAAAAGAGAAAAAAAGGACAGGATGAGAACCAAAATCGGGAGCCAACCGAGCAGGAGGAGACAAAAACGGAAAAAAGGAGGAGAGGATAATTCCACCGTTTGTATGGTGATTTATTCCGTTAATCCACTTCGTTGTTCTTAATTGCTCAGACGCCCACTCCAAAAACCCCTTCAGACGAACCTTTTTTACTTTTAAATCGGCCATCAAAAGCTTCCATAAACAAAGACTCCTTAATAGCTCTAAAATGTGCGGTTAAGTACTCTCGCGTGGTGGCGTGAAGTGCTAAAAATGCGGGGGGAGGTCTTTATCAGACCCGGGTGTTTTCTTCTTACGCGTAGGTATAAAAAATGGATCCAAAGGCGGGAAAACTTCTTTGCTCAGCGGAATATAAGATAAGTGCAGGCAGGGCAAGAGCTATTCTTGCGTAGATTATATTATGATAGGTTTCTTTATTCCTTCTTCTTTTTCAATGATGATACGCAAATATTTTCTGTATACCTATATCTAATCTGAAGTTTATTAATTATAGGTGCGAAGGAATATAATTTGGATGATCCTCGTCCTATTCATGTTTTGTATTTTTTTTTTTTTTTTTTTTTTTTTTTTTTTTTTTTTTTTTTTTTTTTTTTTTTTTTTAATATTTATTTTTATCATTTGTATCTCTCTGAGCGAGCAAATGGATACATCTACTGAACAAGTACAAAAAGAGAGCAGCCAAAATTAATCTGTATTCAATGAAAATTAAAGCTCCGAGATGAAAGTTTGTACCTTAAAGAATAGCAATGTGATGGATAGAGAATTTTTTAAGCTTTGTTATTTAATTACAGTTGGAGCAAAGGCTTCTGTTAAAGTAATTCCAGAAAATCTTTAAATTTATTTCGTCAAATTCTTTCAAAAGGTTTCATTTGCAATTTCATCTATATTACACCTTAAAATTCCAAGGGAAAATAAAAATCGATAAACGGGGTACTCGCAACGAGCACCTTGTTAATCGATACTTTACCACAGTTTGAAATGGGAGGATCGATTGGAAATAATCGATTGATCACGCTTCGCCACTGCGATTTACGTCCGCTACTCAACGGAACGGCTCGACTACGTGACGCCACAACGCGACGCAGGCAGGGGGCAAGGGCACGTATGAAACGGAATATGCGAAGACGCAGACGAAAATACGGATAGCTTTTACTTGCGAACATAATGTTTCATATTGGCGGAGATTTGAATACAAAGTGCGTTTATGCTCGGCACGTGAACGGCCACTTAAAGGCGGAGATCGATTATTGCGGAGTCGGCATGCGTGCCCGCCCGCACAGGCCACCGATCCGTCAGCGCTGAAAGGGCTTTTAGAGGACTCCGGCCCGCGCGATAAACGCAAGGCGCCGCCGGAGAAAGTTCCCGCCACGGGGGCGCATCCAGGGGTCGTTCAAGGGAATAATGTTGTGTTTTGCTGTGCTGCCATGCTAGACCCGCTGTGGGACTCTAGCGGACTGTTGCTATCGCTAAAACTGCCGTGATAGCGAAAAGAGCCATAAGTGCAAAAATTACGTTTTGAGAAAATTGGCTTATAATCAGGAACACCTAAGAGGAAAATTGAGTGGCTTGGAGGACAAGGCACACAAGTGCAGTTTTTGCTATTTCGAGAAATAATACATGTTTGAAGTTTCGAAATTACATGGCTCCTTATGGCGAAAAGTAGGTTCAAGCTAACTTTTTGATGCTTGAAAATTGGAATTCGGGAGCGAATTTTTCTCAGGGCATGCATGAAGACTATTTTCACTTGAATCCATTCATATTCCAATTTTTTCAAAAACTGCACTTATGCGCCTTGTCCAATAAGGACATTTCACGGACACATTATCTAAAGACATTCATTTGATACTCGTTGGCGATTTATGTCTATCAGAAAGCAGAGATGCAACTCTTAATTCTGATCGTCAACCGTCAGCAGTCGCACCGATTCCCATTCTGAACCATCCGTTTTGATCGTGGAAACGCAGCTCGGGTCAAGTTATCGGGTTAGACCCTGAAAACACGTTCAAAGTGAAGCTTTAAAGTGGTGGCTGTTTCGCCTTGTGTTGACATCGATGACCTCCGAAGGAGAGCAGACCGCTCTACCCTGCGGGTCATCGTGACCCATCGACCCATGTATCGGATCGTGCAATTAAAGGTGTCCATCACATCACTGTGCTCCCATCAGTCAAATCCACCGATTCAATTCTTAAAAACCGACCATACATTTACATATCTTATACCTTCGTTTTCCAGTCGAAAGAGCTTTACAGCGCTTCAAAGTTGCAAGAATTTTATTTGCAAATAGTATTTTTCTTAAGAAAAAAACTATCAGACATTTTCAATTGGAGATTTCGCTGATGTTTCTTCTGATTACACGTAAAAATGAGCAAAATTGAGGAAAATCGAGTTCAGCTTGCAATGAACAAATGAATCAAGTGGGTCAATTTTGCAACCTTGGAACCGCATAATTTTCCTCGGTCGGGAAACGCTGCTTATTTTTTCTTTGTCCACCGCGAAATTTGGCAACGCGAGGAGCGTATCCGCAGTGGCGCGCCTGGCGGGGCCCGGGCGCAGCCGTTAAGAGCGCGGGGCTCCCGTAAAATAGGTTAATTAATGCGATTAAAAAGAAAACGGAGGGGGCGGAGGCGGACTGGATGGCTCGGGTATATTTTTATGGAGGCTGAGGCCGTTTACGCGGAGGTGAGTGTCTGCCGGGACGGTTATCAAGGGGCGCCCATTAGGGTTCGCGACGACGTGACCACACGCAGGATACGCGAGGTGAGAACGGCGACGCGAATAAAACCGCCTGACAATGGTGTCCTAACAGCCCGTAACAGCGGCTACCGACCGGCCGACAGCCATTTCAGCTCGCCGGTGACGGCTATGTTCGCGCCGAACCGGGGCCCGACACAGCCCCCGCATTACTTCGTGAGAGCCTCACCCGGGGATCCGCGGTCCTGACCTTAGGAGCCTCGTTTTGTACCTCCGACGGACGGACGAGATCATCGAGGGGTTAACAAGAAGCTTCGTGGAAGAGTCGATTGCAAAGCATCTTACGGCCTTGGGTTGTGCCTTGTGACCGAACCCTTCGGTAGGACACTAGAATTGAACACAAAGGATAATTTGCACGAAAAATTGTTATTGCGGAATCGGAGAGAGTTTAATGAGCTGTGTGTTCAGTGTTTTTCATATATTTTTCCGATTTGGCAGATTTCAGAAAGATATATTTAAAAAAGGAAATCTTCCGCCATGACGTCATCAGGCGGCATTTTCCATTTAAACACAAGTATTTTAGCTTATTAGGTTCTTTAGTCAAATTTCCTCTGATAACCGTTCATTTTAGAAACCAAGGGTCACTCAGTTCTCGCAATAGTTTCCTCTTGAACATTAAATTCACGAAATTTTCAGCAAAGTCTCCATTGGAGGTGATTTCTCATTGAAATGTCACGCAGGACACCGTCAAAAAGTCCACGAGAATCTGAGAAGGAGGAAATTAGTATATTTCTAGTTTACATTTTAATCAGTAAACTGGAATTGATCCATTACGAATAAACCAAAAGCAAACGGGAATTGTGCAAGGGCTGAAACTTCGGGGGAACTGAAATTTGGATAAAAGAAAGGGCGGTCTGGGGTCTCCCTCCAGTGGAGGGGGTCTTGCATCGAGAAAACTTTAAAAGTTGGGTCCCCCAGGACGCATTTGTTTGTTTTATACACGCCGGTGAAATATTATCCTTTGAACAAAAAAGAAGAATCCTCAGAATTTTAAGGATGTCGCTTTTAAGCCATCGAAAGCAAACGAGTGAGTTCGACAATTAGCTGCAGGGTGTGCTTTAACGAAAATCTCTCCCTTTAAATATACGATCCGTGTGGACTTTTTAAGAATCAGTATCGAAAGATAAACAGATCAAAGAATCATTTCATTGCGGCGCACACTAAATTTATTTGAATGCCCGATTAGCGTTAAGGAAGCATTATGGCCCCAGTGACAAGCCAGCATTGATATCGGGACCGAGCGATGTTACCACAAACGTTTCACTGTAAACGACTAAACACGTAGGTGGGATCTGGAATCTGCTATAAGCATTGCAAGAGCAACGATTTATTTTTCTTCGTGATCTGCAAGGAATCACACCAGGTAGAGAACGGCAGTGACTTCATCTCCACTGATACGACCAACTGCTCGAGAGGAGTCTCAGTCACGGAACAAGGTCTTGATCCGACTCCTCTCCGCAGTTTTATTTGTATCGCCTACTTTCGCACCTCTATGACGAGTGACCCGAGTTTTCTTCATTGAAACGAGTTTACGACCCCTTGTTGTCCGTTAATGAGTCGACGATAAAACAACAACAGACGAACCATAACCTCTGGCGTGTAGCCGCGGTCGTAACCTACAAACTGGGCCGCGCGGGGGCGCCAGTCGCCGATGGAAACTCGAGGATTTTCATGGGTGAAAATTAAATTAGAAGGCACAACCGGCAACGTAGAGGCGATTTGCGTACTTTTCCTCAGTTCATCTGGACGTCAGGGATACATTCCCTCCGACTGGATGATCCATGCCGCCTCCTAGATTGTAAATAGGCATGATGGATTAAACTTGCCGAGACGTAATTTATCTTGACGCGTAAAAGGCTGCGTTTTTATTTTAATACTTACAGTTTCAAGTATCTGATTGTTTCCAACAAGTCACGGATCATCAGAGATCGAGTATTATATACAATTATGTGATCAACTCAAAATCGTGGTGAAAAAATTTATCGGCGATTTTTTTTTAATTATCATAATTATAAAAAGTAAGGGGAAAATTATGCCACAAAATATGTATTATTCTCATGCAAGTATTATACTAATGAAGCCACAATGAACTTCTTTAACTAAGCAGTCTGTCAATTCAACTAAATTTCTCGTAAATATGACTATTGAGCCTGGACGAATGGATTTAAGAGCGAGACTTACGATTCACCTTCAATTCAATGGATAT